CCTGAACGCATGCCAATACTGAAACAGTTCTAAGAGCACCTTGATACCTGACGTTTTTGTTGGGCTTTCTATTAATGTATTTCTTCTCACTTGTTTAATGCTGGGTCATTTTTGTATACTCAGTCAACAAAAAGTTAACCCAGCTTTGCTTTGAGGTGGGTTGGGGAGTTAGAATAGTATATCTTTGCCCTTTTGCTCTAGTTTAGGAAAATAGGTGCTAAACGCAGCTTCTTGTAAGTGTTACTTGTTACGTTGTCTCTGCTTTTTCTGTAGACAGGCATTTAAGGCATCTTCACTGAAGCGTAGTTAGTCAAGAGTTAAATGTGCAACTTGAACAAATTCCTTCTGAAAAGGAATTCTCCATCCATCTCCCATTTTAGCTGTCAGTGTCTGCCACAAAATACTGCATTACATGACCTGAATACTGTCACCAATTTACATACCAGGATTTTTTGGCTTACGCTAAGTGAACGAGATACTCTATTCCAGACATTTGCTGTCTCTTTGGCAAGACGTGTAGTTTGCTTTCCTCAGTCCCCTCTTTCTACACTCTCAGAGCTGACCCATTTCTCATCCAGTGAGTTCCTCAGAGTTTCTACCTTGTAGTAGAGTAGCTCACAAATTGTTCTGGCTCTTGGGCTGCTGAAAACTGAGCTGTTCTGCCTCCTGGCCTGGCTTTCTAAGGAAAAGCTGCTATGCAGTGCTAACTTCAAATTTGATTACTTGAATTCCTATGAGTTTTGTGAAAACTGGCATCTTGGTAGATGTTAATTAGCTTCAGCTGAGGAAAAATAAGCCTTTTAGTTGTTTGGCTCATGGGGTGACTGAAAAGCAATGGCTCACTCATCGCTTAGGAAATGCATGCTGGCCTGCCAGTTGGCACGTATCTGCCCTAAGCTGTGGCTTGTCCAAAACCCATTCCTGCCTAGTTGTTAGAGTGGTTGGATGCAGGGAAAAAGAGAGGACACAATGTGACAGTGGTGTCAAACTCAGGGAGGCAGGGGGAGATGCAATAACTGGGGGTATTGCAATCTCATCAACCTTTGGGATGTATTTCACAGCTATGGGGAAATCCAAAGTGCCATTTTTTCTGCCCACAGTACAGTCTGTAACAATTGGGGATTTTTGTTTTGCTGCTTTTTTATGGAAAGGCTGAAAATAAAACTCGCGTTGCTCCTAATATACCCAGAGATAATATCTGCATGTTATTTCTTCAACCAAAAGGCTCTTAGCATACTAAAAATGCTTTCTGAACTGAACTCTGATCCTATAAAAATGCCACGTTAATCCTGTAGAGTGATGTCATCCTCGCAGACTTGCTTTCTAGATGAGAAACGTTCAAGGAATAGGGCTGGTGTCTGCCTGGGTGGCTGAAGGTTTTTATTCTAAACGGTTATTTACTGATCACCCACTAGAGGGCTTAACTTCATCGGGGAAGTGTAACTACTGTGGGGCTTGAAGGTGTAGGGAGAAAACCTGGTCATAAAAATGTTTCCTTTCCTGATGTCTGGATGCTGCAGGGGTGGCAATCAAGCTCTTGTCACTGAGCATCGCTTTGGCCAGAGACATGGTTCCACGGAGAAATAGTAACAGTTTGATCTTCAAGCCCTTAGCGAGGTTCCTGAGCAGCTGTGGAGGTGGTCCTTGGAAAAGAAGAAATGCCCCCAACCTCACATTGTCCAGCTCTTTCACTGGTTTTACTGATGCCAGTCCTCAGGAAGGCCAGGTGTGAACACCAAAATGTGGCCTCACTTGAATTCTTTCTTGAAAATACCAGTTCAATGAAGGCTGGAGTCTGAGCTCTAAAAAGTACCATGTTCTGTTAATGATGACGAGATCAGATTCTGAATCAGAGCAAGCTTATACCTGGGGCACTGAAGGCAGTTACTTTCTTAGCTGTTGCTTATAATGCTGATAAACTGTGTAACCTGTGTATAAAATGAAGTCCTCTCAAATGTTATATTGGAAATTCTGGGGCAAATTAATTTTGACTCTAAAATACAATATATTCACATTTAAATATTTGAAATTTATTTTTAAGGAAAAATCTGTGACTTAAAAATATAACACCAGCTTTTTCTAAGTGTGGACCAGTGTGTTCTGTATTGTGTTTGTTTTCTTACAAAAGTGATTATTTTCTAATGCATGTTTTCTCTTCAAATTTTTCAGGAGTCCCAATTTGTGAGTATTCAACTACTTGTGTAGATATTGTGTGTCATTGCCTTGACATAATTTGATTTGATTTTTAAAATCTCTTTCTTAGTATAGCCCTATAAGTTACAGTTCAGTGCACTTGGCTGAATAATTCTTTTTCCTTATTATCTTACATCCTTCATGTGCTTTGGACTGTGCTGTTTCCTGCCCTGCCTTGAGCAGAGATATCCAGACCTAATGAAGCCTATTGCTCTGACTCTTACGAAGTCCATTTGCAGCTGATGAGGCTTGGCCTACTTTTTAAATATTAGGATTTGGATTAGGAACTCGCTTCTGTTTGCGGTCTGGAGTGGTTTTGGAGTACTTGGAGCAGATGAAACTAAGCTGGGAGATGCAGTGCAGCTGCAAATAAGCAGCCAGTCCATGGGACCAGCCCATAGCTAGTCAGAGGTAAAAGCAAAGCAAAAAGCCTCTTGAAATGCGAATTACGTGAATGCCGACTTCTCAGATCCAACAGTAATCAAAATAATTCTGAAGAAATACTCCAGGCTCAGTGTAGTGCTATATATCAGTTTACAAGTATCCTTGGGGCTACCAATGCTTCCAAATCTGCATGAGTACTGTTGGCTCCTGTGTGGACACAAGGGGTTTGTCTTTGTGGTTTGAGAGGTTGAGTGTTTTCCTTTTCCTTCTCTTCCAGTCCAGCTGGGGAGAGAAAGCACTAGAAGAAATGGTGGGAGGACTTTTTACCTGAGAGAGGCCATCAACTTCTATATTTGATTTTGGTCCAAACCCACCTTCTGTAGCATGCTCATAGGGTCTCACAAAGCACATCCTAGGAAGAATGGAGGGTCAGGCAAAAGATAAGCTTTGCAAAATAAAATTATTAGTAGCAGTTCCAAGTAGCATTATATGTGTCTTTAAAACTGCGCTTTTTAATGGTTCTGTTAACGTTATGGTAAAGCAAGTAAGATTTTTCTGTTTTAAAATATAATTTTTAATTTTGGTGAAATTATATTTTTATATTTGAATGAAAATTAAAACCAAAAGCCATTCACCCTGTTGACTTCTTTCTCCTTTTTGCTAATATGAAATATTCCTAACATGTTTTACTAAAAATGAAATACAGTTATCTGTTGGGAAGCCACCTTTTGTGGTATAAGCAAACTATACGCAAGAATGTATCTAAAATATTCTTAAAAATCCAAGTATATTATTTAGTGGAAGTTCATGTCTTTCCTTTTAGAACAGATAAGGAACATTAATACATTCATCTCTAAAACTATCTGGTTATAATTTATACAGAAGCATCATTGCAGGGTCTTGAAAACTTACTTCACTGTAATAAGCAGTAAAAGGCAGCACTCTGCGCACGCCTCAAAGCACACAAAGGTGTGTGACGACTGAAGGAACTCTCAAACCATCACGACATGGCAACGTTTCTATGTCATTGTCTGCTACATTATAAAGGGCCGATTCAATGCAACAGGGAAGTAATACTCGCAGATCTACTGAAAGTGTAACTAATACAGACCCTGCTGAGGAGTTACCATGCATTGCTAATGAGGGACATGCAGCCGGACAGTTGTGTGCAACCCTTGCGAAGCTCCTAAAGCTGTATGTAGCTACCAAGCTTGAGTCTCCTTTTCTTTTCCTTTTTGCATTGCATTATTTTGAATAATGCGTCCAACTATCTAACTTCTGAAGGATTTAAAACACACTGTCGAAATACACAGTTCTAAGATGCCATCGTAGTCAAAGCCATTAATTTGGATAAATTTCCTATTACTAAGTTATACTGAAATGAACATTGTGGGAAAGCTCAGTTTAATGATACTGTGGAGTATATTCTTGCTTCATTCACTGCTGTCCTCTTTGCAAGGTAAGAACCTTATTCCATTTTTCTAGTAATACTAACTTTCAAAAAGATTTTTCTGTACATTTTAATATTAGAACTTCTTTTTCTATCATTATAAAGCGTTTTTTTGACCCTTGCTGGAATTCATAAATGAAAAAATTTTAAACATAGGTTAAAAAACTGAATATCACCATTCTCATATATGTAGAAACAAAAATATAGTTCCTTTTTTAAAAAGATACATTTAGGAATGACATGTAAGTTTTTTGGCTTTCTTGCCATTATTGTCAGATGAGTAAGGACCTAATGATTTTCAGTGGGGTATGATTTTGTTTGAACGAACTGCACCTGCAGGTTGTTTCAGCATATTTAGAGTGTTACGGTAAATAAACGCTGTTCTGGTTATAGAAATGATCCTATTTTCTGTGTAATGCAAATGGATCTTGTAGATAGGCTTCTTGCAGCAATTATAAAGATTTCTAAGGCAATATGATAAAGAAGGGGTTTTTGCTTGCTTGCTTGTTTGTTTTTAAAGCATGGACTGTGGAACATTTTAAATGATTTATAACTGAGTCTTACAAATAACATTCAGAAAATTATTATAGGTAACCACCCCAGAAGCTGGATTCTGGAAAGCTCTGAGCCCCTCTTGTGTGTTATCAGTTTTGTTCTGAACCTCTGAAGAACTATGAACTCATTGCTTTTTTTTGTTGTGACATGTACCAGAACTGAGACCATGGAAACTTGCAGGTGACAAGTACTTGAGAGAATCTAACTCTCATGAAGGAAAGCATGTAGTGCTACGTCCCTTGGAAACAGAAGTAGTTTGTGTAAAGATGCTCTGGGAAACTTAGCATCATCAAAGAACAAAATTCAATAGCATTTTAAACTTCACAAACTGTTGTTTGCCAAGTGCAAAATGAGGTTATAGAAAAAAAATTAACTTGACTTTTTAATCTACAGGATCTTATTGCAAGCTTTCTCTTTTGAGAAGAACTTCAAGGTAAGTTTTTTTCCTTATTTGTCAAGTCCTACAAACAGAACAAGAATGAATAAGTGTGATGCAGTGCGAGTTAGAAAATAAAATACAGCCTTGAATTCAACATGTAAAATGTCATGTACATGTACATTGGATTAAAACACACATTCAGAATGTTTACAACTATTTTCAAAGAATTTACATAAAGGGCACAGGTCCTCTGTTTGAAAAATGGAGGTCCTTGTGAAAAAAAAGCTTAGAGAAAGCTTAGAGGAATAATGGAGTGAAACCAGGATGAGATCATGATTTCATGACTGAAAAAATACATTAAATGAGTATCCTTCTGCAGTTTTAATTGCATGATGAAATCCTAGTTTCTATTTGAAGTACAAAAAAGTAAGTGCTATACAGCCTTAAAATAAACATTTTCAATACATTTTTCATGTAGAAGCTGAAATCCAAACAAAACCCAAACTAGGGAATGTTCCTGATCCCATTGAATTAAATGGAAACTATGCCATCAGTTTCAATGGAAGCATCCAGTTGGACATAGCTTCGGATATCTAATGATCTCTAGTACATCCCTGCAAACACACATGCATGTTAAATGATACGCCATCTTCGACTGTTGATAAAATTAAATATGTTTTGAAGTTTGATGCCCTTGTTTCTAAACTTAATCACAAATTTAGGTCAGCTACAGCTGGAGAGTCATCTCTTGCTATTAAAAGTACCATCACAGTATATTCAGCTAACACTTGGGGGAACTGGCAGCCACTCACAGGCAGAGTCAAGTAAATACAAAGCTGCTTTACAATTTTGTATCCTGTCATGTAAGCCTATTTTGCCTATTTATGTCTCCCCCACAAGCTCCAGGTTCCTCACTGTCCAAGCAGAGGTCTGGTGCTGCCCAATTCTGTAAAATGAGACCACAAAAAGAAAAAAAAAAATTTAAAACCCCACCTTTTGAAATGTTAACCCAAGAAAGACCTCTTTGATAAAGTGATGGTAATCAGGGAGAAACACTTCTCTCTGGGGAGCTGCTTATTCAGGTTGTTCCAGGGACCTTTGATAATACAAGATCCTTTTTGTTTTCTTCCAGAAAGGAGTTTAATGCAACTCGACAGAAAAGAGATCTCGTAACAGCTGAGGTAGGTTATACCTCCAAAAGCAGGAGCGGGAGGGGGGAACCCTCCTGCCTTTTCTGCTCCAGGCCTTTGCCGTCCTTACAAAGGAGCCTTTGTGGGGAGAAGGGCTGTGATAACAGGAGGACAGTGAGGAGGAGCAACTATTCCCTACCTGCTCACCCCCCACCTGAGCCCGTGGCCTCATGCCTTCATTCACTCTCAGCAAAGTGACCCACCCTGACGAGCTGACTGACGCACACCATGGGACGTAAAACCATGACGCCTCTGTCCTTTGTGAGGGCGAACAGAGCGCCCGTAAAGCTGTTAGAGTTTGGTGAGGGGCACAATGGCGGCACCACCCGCAAGGCTCCCTCCCGCACGTGGTGCCGTGGTGGCTCCAGCCTGGTCCTCGTTCCCTCCGCCCCGGCCCACTGCTACAGCGCTGCATCCCGGCAATGTGGCGCTGAAATTTAATAGTAAACGGGTGAATTTTGTTCCCCCACTGGTACGTTTCAGGCTACAGAGCCCAAGCAAGGGTTATAACACTGATTGATGAGGGCTGGCGGGGAGCCTGCAGCCGAACCGTGGGTGATTTTCTCCGAGTCCCTTTGTGATCTACATGCCTCCTGACAGAGACAGAAGGCAGCTGGTGTGAAAAACTGCACTGAGGTGAATTGAGGCTCTGAGGGAAATGGGCCTTCAGGACTGACGGTGTCCCAAGACTGTCTTCAGGAGAAGAATGCTATCACAGCAAGGATGCTCTACCCCCCCAAAAATAACTCAAAGGCCAAAAGCCACTTTCCTGAGGAGGATGGCTCAGAGTAACTATCAGGGGAAATGGAAATGGGTCTTGTGGAGGGAGGGAACGGATTCTCTCCCGCTAGTGATGGGCTGTGGGGTCTAGGAATAGTTTTGGTGCGGGGGCCTTTCAGGTGGTGATTTGACGAAATCCATTTCAGGTTGATTTTAGACAGATTGTGCTGCTTGGATGCATCCCACAGAGTATTTCTAATTGGAAAAGATAAGTTTTTATGTCACTGTGTGAGGCATTAATGAGACTTAACCTAACGTGTTCCTTGTGCAGTGCTGTTCACTTTGACATCCATTAGTGCAAACTCCAGACATGGAGAATGACCGGCAGCAGGAGGGAAGAAAGAAAAGAAATTATCTCACAACTGAAGACTTAAACAACTTGTTTTGCTTAGTTGTGCAGCTGAAGGCTGGGGTGTACATCGGTGGGGATCATAGAAGGGTAATTGTTCTCATAGAATGTCAGAGAGGGAATACATAAAGCCACGGGGAAGAAGAGCCAAATAGCAAAGGGGCCAAGCTTTATAAAACAAAAGGGTTTAAGCTGGCCATGAGTAAATGTAAGAGAGGAATATTTAACTACCCAGCACTTCACACTGGTAAACTTTCCAATCAGACTAGTGGGGGCAAAAACCCTGGAGTACTTTCAGCCTAGAACAGGATCAATTCTTGGAAGGGATGATGCGATGTGAAAAGCTGCAGTATCAGACTGCTGGGTTAGATCCAGGGTTTACTTATAGTCAGATGTTCCTAAACAAGACAGGAAGCAGATCAGGCAGATCTGCCTCTTTTGTTTGGCATGAACCAAAATGCAATTCTGAAGGATCTCAAGGAAGACATGAAATCCATCACAGCTGGAGTGGCCACAGTGGGATAATCTTGGGTGCGGCACAAAGCATGAGTTAGGGGAGAGGATGAAATGGAGGGATATCACATCTTCAAGCACTCCAGCTATTGGTGTTTGACCAAAGTAAAAAGGGCAGGAGTGCTCTGTGTCCCCTCACTCTTCCTTCCAAATGTAAATGTAAAACTTGCCAGGTGGAGCTCTGCTGGTTCATTGGCACTGGAGAGCGTGGAGAGGAGGCCAGTGGCGATTCCACAGTGCAGCTGTATCCTTCCCCATCTGCCCCAAAGCCATGCTTCTCCTCCCCATGGTGCTTGTTGCTGCAGTTATTGCCTTCCTCACTGAGCCAGGCTGCTAATGCCTCCTGCAGCACCCACGTCTGTGCCACATGCTGGCTGAGCCCTAAATTACTCTTCTGTATTAAATGTGGCTTTGAGCAACCTGGTCTAGTGGAAGGTGTCCCTGCCCATGGCAGGGGGGTTGGAACTAGATGATCTTTAAGGTCCCTTCCAACCCTAACCATTCTATGATTCTATGTCCCAACCCAATGTTAGGCTGCAAGACCCAGGCTTGTATCGGCTCATTTGTGAAGCACAAACACCCTGATTTTGTTTTTACATTTCTCTCACAGATTCAAACTGCCTCTCCTCGGTCGCACCATCATGGGGCCTTGACGCGGAGTCCACCAGGAGGTCAGTGCTGTGCTCCTCGCCCACAGCAGGAGAGACGGTCTTAAAAATGCTGCTTTCCTTCCAGCTGTCCTGTGTTACCGTGGGTTGTGGAAGCCCTCCTCATTATGTCTCCTACAAAACCCTGCCCTGTCACATTTTCTTGTTTTATCCATGTTAAATCATGAAAAATTTATTAAAATTGTACTTTCAAAATAATGCCTTACAATCAAATCTAAACAGCTAACTAAGCCAATCCTTTGATTTTTAAAAAAGTTTAGTTCCATTGCAATTTTTCTTTTCTGCCACTTTTTCTGGCCTTGGCAGAGGATGCAAGTATGTGTGAGAGGCATGTAACTGGTTATGCAAAGGGACGGGGTGCTTGGGCAATGAGCACGCAGCCGCTCCTGGAGCGTTTTAGGTGTTGTACAAACACATAAAGCTAGTCCAAGTTACAGAAGTCGTTTTGCAGAAAATTTCATTGTATGCATCTGAACTTTGGTATCCTTCTTGAAAAATACGTATGCCTGGGTAGGTGCTTTCTGTTGTGTCTGTCCATGTAAATGAATATATGTAATTTTACTGCTCACAATTCTACCAACAGTTTTCCACATTAGTGCTGTTCTATAAACGGTATTTTCAGAGTATGTGTATATTTGGAAAGCAATTCTTAAATGGAAAAAAATTCAAAACGAAACATGGAGAGGAGTTTTCACAAGGAAGGCTCATGTTCTTAATCATTGGTGTGTGCTTTCCTGTAAAGATTCCATTTTGTTCCCATTTAATGTCACTAGGAGCTTTACCATGGCTTCATTGGGAGTGGAAAGGCCTGTTTATTTCTTCCTGCTTTTTGCAATGCCTTTTTAATCTCTGCCAGCAAGCCTTTGTATCTAGGGGTTTATTCCTCTCCTAAGAAGGAAAACAACTATCGCCATACCCTGACGAAATTTTGCTTTGGGACTACCTTTATTCTCCACTTTTGGGAAACTCTGATTTAGACTCACCTCAGTGAATGGTTAGTAGATGACAGTGCCGTCTTAGCTTCCGAACAGACTACAAAACCCTTAGTGAAACTGCTTTTGGAAACAATTACTAATTATAACATAAACCAAGCCATTCCCATGGAATCTTGTTTCTGACTCCAGTCACCTCTTAAGCAGAAACAACCCTTTAATTGACTTTTTTTAGCATGGGGGGAAGGTTGTTGATAATTGATTTTGACTCTGTAAATTATATATTCTGGACTGTTCATAAGCTGAACGTACCCTTTGCTGTAATGCTTAGGAGGGAGGAGATGAACTTATGTATAAATTGTGCTGAATTTAGTCAATTAGAATAGTATGTGTCCTATGTATTTCAAGATCAGCAGGGCTGGGATTTGGTTTTTTTACGTGGGAACTTGACCTTTTGTTTGCTGGGAGGAGGTTGACCTTATGCTCCTTTGTTAGTTTACAAGTCTCAGACCAAATGGGAGAGAACCTTGCTTCTCTTTTAACCAAGGAACACAAAGGATAAAATTAAGTAAATGTTAAAAACTGGAGATTGTTGTTGGTTAATTTTTTTAGCTAATATAGCTGCTTATGATGTAACAATAAACAGATTTCATGTGGCTCTCAGCCTGTTTGCAATATACTGTATCTACTGAAAGGCTGCTGTGCTTGCTTACAGGTTCATGTCCTCAGGAGTGCCTTAATGGAGCAGCCTGCACAGAGGCAGGTGACTGTGACTGTCAGTTATTTCAGGCTCGAGGAAGCAGGTGCCAAATTGGTAGGTTTTGGGCCAGAAAAGTCAAGTTTCAGCTTCAAGTGAGATTTAAGGTGCAGGTTTTAAAAACAAAACTGTTAACAGCATATTTATGATTCCCCTGTAGTAGAACTGTCATTCAACCAGTAGCTAAAAGGATTAAAATTAAATGTGTTAGGGATATGTATACAGCAACATCAGGAGTGCCTGCCTTTTAGCACTTGGTTTGTAATGATGCACAGATACCTTAACAGATAGATCACCATCTAGTACATCAGTAGCTACCCAGCTTTTTTATAGTTCACTGAACAACCGAAAAATAATTTTTCTAACAAACAGTGGCTTTTTGCAAATAAAGATACCAGCAATTTCAATGCACTGGTTCTGGAATCTGCTGTGTGTAGGGATCAACATGAATTGTCTTCCAGGATTTGCAGTAGATCTAAATCCCTTCCCTCTACTTATAATTATAACATCTCAACTGAAGCAAATTAAAAACTTAAAATGATCACACTTGACTAAACCTGCAGCCTAAAGATTAAAAAAAATGTACTGATTTAAATTTGAAGTTGAAGAAATGAGGTTAAGTTTTGTCCTTGCCATGTATTTCATTTGTAAGCTCTTACTTCCTTTCAGAACTCTTACTTTTGTAGATGCGTGTGACACCTGTGTCAGGTTTTGATTACTATGCTTGTTGTAAACTCAGTGTGTGTTCTCTCCAGTACCTAACACTGGCAAGGACCGTGATGGGATTTGCAAATCGTGGGGGCAGTATCATTTTGAAACATTTGATGGCATCTACTACTACTTCCCAGGAAATTGCTCCTATATTTTTGCAAAAGACTGTAGTACTCCAGAACCCCAGTACACTGTTTGGGTGAGTATGTGAGCATACGCTAGAAATAATACACTGAGTATTCCTGTATTACAGGGCTTATTTTTCATCATAAGTAAAATAAGTAGAGAGACAATAAATGGATCAAAGTGTTTCATTGCTTACTTAAATATAAAACTGTGCTGCTGGAAAATGTCTAAGCCTATGTGCAGTAACTCAAAACACTGATGAAATGATAATCAACAGAGTCAGTATATTAAAAATAGTATTTCTTAGTCCCCATATCCTAAAAAGGATCTCTGGTCTCTCCTTTCTGGTATCAAAAGTGAGTCTTAAAGCAGACCTTGGAAACTTTAATAAACTTGAGCTGTCAGACTGTAACAAAAAATGAAGTTGCTGAGTTAAGTGCAAACAGCCATCACCTGCCTGATAGCTGGGCACCCAAGTGTACTGGACCCCCATTCACAGCCATCGCAAGCCGTGGGGAGCTGCCTCTCTGGCTCACGGAAAACTTTGTCCCCACTGGGGATTTGCATGCTAATCTTGGATTACCTCTACGTCATTCAGGGAAGATTAACAGCTCGAAAGCCTTTAACTGACCTATGTATGGAAGGCACTCTTTTTAGTAATTTCCTCAAATTGCTGAGTAACCATGCTTAACAACTTTGGGTCAGGGACTGTTCACTATACCGTCTTTGAAAAAAGATTCCCTATTTATCAGGCTGTTGGTTACTGTAGGGAGAGGATGCGAGATCATTATGTTACTTTTTACACAATGATTGGGATTTGGTGCTGATTGGACAGGGGAGAGGGGACAAGAGCCCTGGTGTCACTATGCTTACAGGAGCAAGGGCAGACCTAGATGCTGATTTCTGCTCCAAGGACTAGTTTTCATTTATAAACACACAACTGCCTCTCCTCCCAGATAATAGCATCTAGTGAAGATAAATCTACCATTAAAACTGCCATTTCCTTTCACTCAGGTGATAGACAGATGCTCTTACATCTGCCTTCCATGATTTCATTTTAATTCTTTGGATTCTGTGTGCAGCTATGATTTTTTAGGATTTTTCAGAAAATGCTGTAGCAAAGCCCAAGATGATATTAAAATCTAGAATCAGTATTTCAGTGGATTCTAGTTGCTCTGGAGAAAAAAGAAACTACCATTCAATTGCTGGAACAATTGTCATGTTTTGCTAAAAGCTGAAAATGTTTACTCAGAGAATTCATAAGTCATGTTAAAGCACTGCAGTCATTACAGGCTGGAAAATGGAGAGCCAGGAACCTTCCCAAATCCCCACATTATCGTCCTTCTGGCTTTAATAATAGACCTCTCTAAAGGAGAAGAAAACACAAGAATTATTTTGATTTTCCTTGATTGTATTTCTGTCTTGGGCCAGGTTTACATAGAAGCTGTCTGTCAATACTAGTAACCTTTATGATGTCTTTAATTAGGATGATCTTTATACATGTAAGATCTTTAATGGTTTTCCTGGTTTGGTTTATTTCACTCAGAGAAACAGTAACTGGTTTTACTTCCCGGATTGTCAGTTTAGGAAGATTAGTTTGCATATGTGTTAGTACTCTATGTGTTTACCAACAGATCTTTTCTACAAAAATGATAGCTCTAGTTACTTTTACAGTCTCCATTACAGCCTCCATTACTACATTGGCAAAATGTTTCCCAATTACCAATCTATTTAACTTCACAGCACTATCAAGTAAACTGGTCATGCAACTCCCATTCTTCTCAGCGAACGGTGACACTCAGCCACAGGACTCATATAAGAGTTATCTAAAGCCTGTCTACATTTTAATTTAGGTAATGATAGGTATCTAAGATTCACAACACATGTCCCTGTCTCCTCAGTGCTGTCTAAAATCAGCTCAGACTTGTAAAACACTAGTCCAGGGCATCCCACTGGTTTGGGTGGCTCAGCCCCACTGAGATTAATGAAAGATGTCAAAGTTTTGCTCAAGCCCTTGGAGTAGGTGTGTACTTAAAACTACTTAGACTACATGAGTGTAATTGAAACCTGTGTGGTAGTTAATTGGTTAGAGTGTATGAACAGAAAATTGGAGACCTATATCCCCATCATCAGGCAGAGTAAATCTGAACCCACAGTTTCCAAGTCCTGAGAGCATGTCCTAGCCAATGAAAGCTGTGTGTTCTCTGGGGACAAAGACCTTCCTTCAGGAGTCATCCTCTGCCCTGCTGAGGGCTGGGAATGCAAAGGAAGTCTGACTTCAGGGGTAGCCTCCTTTTTGCCAAACTGTAAAAAAGGAAGAGTGCTGGCTTATCATGCCTGTTCCAAGGTCTGATTATACATTTTTTGTGTGAGAACTACTTCACTGACATAAAACTGCAGGCATGCTGAGATAGGAGTTGCATGGTTTTTATTTCTGGAAGCATGCGTCTGAGATCTGTTTAACACCTCTCTAGCAGTGGGCAATCACAGAAGTCACACACTGCCAATATCCGAGACACACATTTTTGCAAATCTCTCTCTGGCTGATAGAAACTTGTATTTCCATTGCTGTGTTCAAACCAGAGAAGCTGCTACGCGATTCCAACCGATATCCTGGCACTACGCACAGTGGGGAGAGGCAGACTTCAGAAAAGCCTGCCTTTCACTGTTAGCAGGGCTGGAAAGCCACTGTGAAATGGGTTTTAACAGCTGCGTGTAAGTTACATGCCTGCAGTAGTCTGTGGGAGTACCCCAAAATCTCAACAAGTGGTTCACGAAGGCATGTTGTAGTTCAGATGATGCCAGTCTCAGCTGGCATGGAGAAAGCTGGTGTTACACTGAGGTTTTGTATTGGTTTGTAGTCTTCACTTCTAGATCAGACCTCTAGAAACAGAGCAATAGGGGTGTCACCTCAGTGCAGATAACAAGCTTCTATGTTGGCAGTAATAAACTAGCTCAATACAGTGTCTCTGAAGTTCATCTACGTAAAATACTTGAGTATTTCATCCAGTATTTAAACGCTTTTTTGATGTTTTGTGCTATTAAACAGTTGCTGTAGTTCTCAGTAGTATTGGGTAGCATGAACTTCTGGTTTTGCATATCTTTGTAATTGTGACTTTTTATATTCTATGTATTTATTTGTAAAGCTCTGTCAGTGATTGGTGCATAGAAATGTAAAGTATCATAAAGGAGTTTTGATGAAAAATTGCATGACATTATTGAGAACAAGCATTTATCCTTATTGTTTGTATGTTTTTCCCCTCTAAGGTTCATAACAGTCCTCACTGTTATGGTTCAGTATATACTTGTCAGAGGTCCATCAGCTTATTTTTTTCAAACCAAGAAGAAATAGTTATTTCAGGACATGAAGTAAAAAAAGATGGAACCAGGTAAGTGTTCTAATCGTGGGTTTTAATGTTTTATTGCAAAATGCTAGTAGGAGTTTGGGAAATTGATGCTTTTTACACCAGCCAGAAAAAATAATTCATATATATCTTTATTGGTCCCTCGCTGTATTGGAGCTGATAGAGCTCTAGTGTGAGCAGTTGTAATGGTGCTGATGTAATACCTGAGTGAGGATGGCATACACTCCCTGAATGAACCTTATGTTCAACTTCTCAGCTGTAGTCTAACAATTACACAAGCCTACTTTGTGCAGACAGAGTCTTCATCAGACACTTCTAGCTAATTCTTGCTACACCCTGGTACCATTTTGAACAAGGCAGTCATTATTTATTCTTGGTAGCTATACTTAATGTAAGACATAATCTTCTAGACAAATTCAAATTGGTTGAATCAAAGATGTTAAGCTCCCTTTGGGGCAAAAACTTCACAAAACGTCTCTGAGTTATAGCAAACTCCCAGATTTAACTTTTTTTTTTTTTTAAATAAGTAAAAAGGTGAGTGGGAGGCTATCATAACTACATTTTACTGGTTGGTAAAGTATGGAAAATTTCGAAGAGTTGTTAAGGTGTTCTTGCCATCCCCTTTGATGTCATGCTATAGCCATGAACAGCATCTGAGACTGTTAGCCACAGTGATACTGTTCATCCCAACAGAAGCAACTTTGGAAGGTTAGAATTAGTCTGTCTTGCCATATTATTGTCCGGTGGTCTTTGGCCAAAGGAGGAAGATATACAGTATTCTGGTCAATAGTATTTTCTGTCCTGTAAGTTTCTCCATTTGCAGATGTCTAACCCAGTGGTGGCTCTGTGCTCAGAAGGGTTGCTGGTGGTCACGGGGTGACACAGCTCCTTGTGACATGCAGCATGCTTGTGAAGTCACGTCTTCCTCAACGTGCCTATGCTGGGCTTTGAAAATGAAGATTCGTTATTCTTTCAGGCCTATGATTGGTAAAACTGATAGGTGTATACAGTGGAAAAGCAATCATTTTTTATGGTTGATACAGAGAAGTAAACAGAAAAAATAAAAAAGCAATGAAGAATTGAATGGAAGTGACTGTGTACACCTGGGAAAAAGGGCTTAGTGACTTAGAAGGTGATTTATGTGGTATTTTTCTAGCACTAACTTCATCTCATCTGAGATCTCTGAATCAGGCTGTTTACTTTTCCAGTTTAATGTTGCCTCAAACAGTTGGAAATGCTTTTCTTGAGAGACTGGCTGACTATATTCTGGTGAAGACTACATTTGGTTTTTCTCTTGCTTGGGATGGAAACTCTGGTATTTATATTAAGCTGACAGAAGATCATAAGGGAAAACCTTGTGGCCTCTGTGGAAATTTTAATGGCAATAAATATGATGACCTGATACTGCAAAATAGTAAGTAAATAGCTTAGAAATACACCCATACCTGTGTGAACAGCTTGCACGTTCATGTTATATAATGCTGTAAAAGAGACAGAGTCCCATTTCAGTTATTTCAGTAGAAAAGAGAATATCTGCTCTACTCTTCCTCATCATTAAAGATGTTAAGGGAAAGGGTCCTAGTTCAAGAAAGTATTTATATGTATGTTTAAGCCTTTTCTTGTTCAGCAAAACACTTGGGATATGTTTATCTTAGCTGATGAAAGTGCCTTCAAATAATAAATAAATGACCAAATGCTCATGGTTTTCTCTATGTTTAAAGATGGAAAGGGAGGGAGGGAAGAGCCAAAACATTAATATTTGGAAAAAACACCATCTCGACTCATTTGTTCACATGAGCATCATAAAAGGCTAGTTGAAATCTGTGCATTTCAAAGCTGGTGCCAGAGAGTTCCCTGTATCTCTCTGTTGGTATGGTGGATTGTGGGCCACCGACTACCCTGCAGCATGAGGAGTTGCCCAACTCTGCATCTGAGGCAGAGATGATTTGCTAAGCTGGTAGAATATTCTGCAGTCTGTGTAGGAAATACTCTGTAGGGATTTTTGTTCTACTTGCAACAGATGTGGAAAAAAATCAAGCTTGAGGATAGGAGGAATATTTTTGTGTCTCAGATAAAAACAAAGATAGGACTGTTTTACTGCTACCATTAATTGCTGAGAGAATCTAATCCAATGGCCATACATATTCTTAAGTTACAAAAGTTATTTTACTGTAACCTTTTTCCCCTACTCTGTTTTTCCCCATTTTTATGGTTGAGCACGTGGCTTTTTGACTTTCTAAGTGAATGAAGATGCAGTGCACCTATTTTGGTATAGTGTTTAAAAATCCGTCCAATATAAATTTTGCATACCTCTTCTGCCAGGAGACCAGTAAGTTCCCTGTTTATGCATTAACTTCTGCACACCAGGATATAGTATGTTTAATAACTAGTTAAAACTAGTGATATGTAATAATGGAGAAAAGTGGAGTTTGGAGGAGACAATGAATTCACATGATCTTTAAAAAATTAGTAATTTCAGTATCTTTAAATGTATTATCTGTTATAAAAGACTTCCAGCTCTTAGCTCTTCATTCCCAGAGCTACTTTTCTTCACCATCATAATTTCTTCTGGCATTTTTCTTTACCAGAAATTATAGTATTATTGCAGTGTACAATTGAGAGTGCTATGAATCATTTTAACCTTGAACCAGTTGTATAACATGCTGCTTTGACTGTGCAACAAGTTTGGATATCTTCACAAGAATAGACTGCTAATTCAAATTACTTTTAAGCCACAACATTTTTCTAAGTGTTTCCAAATCTTATAAATCATTTGGGATGATGATTTATCTCCCCCCCAGATAAACTACTTCCCACATTAGTGTAAGGGAAGCTCTTACATCTATCCTGAGACTTCCAGAGTCTGAATGCTCTCCATTTGCAATGCCCCAAATAAATAAGCTGCTGAGAGGCATGTAATAGTCCATTTCAAAGCACAGTTTAAAAACAAACTCCTTTTCTGCTTCTTTATCTTCATCTTTAGTGGCATCTTTTTATTGCTTTAAGAGACAAGGCTCTGTCTGTGTACAGATCTGTTTCAAGGACAGCAGTTTTATTTTGTGGCATTTTTTTGAGGACCTAGAAAATTTTTCAAGCTATGTTGAAATGTAAATAAAATATTTTTAATGCTTTTGCAGGAGCAGAGTTATGTCAACAGGTTTGCCTCTATATCAAAACTCAGCAGTTTATGTTTGGGAAGGTTTTTCTGCATAAAAAACTATTCTGCCAGAGAGGGAGAAGTGTTTTAAGTCTCCCTGGCACTTGAGTAAAATGGACTGTTGGTTAGAATCTTATCTTTGTTTATTTGTGGACATCCAAGTACAAATATCTGATTAGTGTGCTCTAGGGCTTTCCACATTGCAGAGAGTCAAACTTTGTACATGTTGTGCTAGAAGAAGGCAGATTAAATTTTGTATAGTACAGCCCTGTGAAAAAACCTGTTTTCATTTCAATACCCTATGTCCTAACCACACATAGACATAGGTAACTGTAGTATTGATACTAATTACTGTAAGGTTCTTCAAAGTGGAGGCAATATACTCTTTTTAACATACTTAAGAACATAGAGAAAATGTAGTATTAAGTTCTTGCTGTAAAAATATGGAAATTTTGGGTCTGGTTTTTTACTGCCAACCTGTTTGTATGTTCGTGTATCTTCCTTAGCCTGTTGCCATGACTTCCAGTCATGCATCTTGTTCATTAATTCTCCCATGCTCATGCTGTGAGGAGAGCTGAGCATATAGTGGTGTGTTTGTTATAGGGCTTTTCTGCAGCAGGGGAAAAGGAGAGAGATAATAGTTCTTGATGATGAAAGCCTTACATTGTTTTAAAGAAATGTATTTTTTCTTAAATATTCAATGCACGAATCTTGTCCTTGTTTGTATATTTGTTATGAAATTGTCAATGAATGCACTTAAAAAAACCCCAGCCAACACTTTGTCATATTTAAAAAAAAATATTTTCATTTAAATGTAGTGTAAAATACTACCTAAAATTAAACATAAACCTAACATTTTTCTGCACTACCCATATTCTGAATTTATCTATAACTGAAATAACAAACACATTGGAAAATGACCAGAAATTTGCTAGCTGTCTATTGGATTTGTATTGACAATTTTTTTTTTTCTGGATGCTCTTCCAATATTTTCACGCAGTAGGTGAATATACAGAAGACATTGCTGAATTTGCAAATAGCTGGGCTGTGCAAACCTCAGATGACATAGCCTGCGTACCTACTGCCTCAGATTTTTCCAGTCCTTGCTCAGCTGATGCAGAATCCACTGAGGTAAATTAATCATATTTTTTATATGTATATATGTTCTTAATCTTCACTGCCTAGTGATGGTACAATAATGTAGCAATATAGACCATGTTGAAAAAAGCCTTAAATGTATTGAGGCTTTGAGAAAGGAAAGATTCAAATCAGGACCGTTGCTAGGGAATGTCCGAAGATCTTCAGATGTTAAGCTTAAAAGTACAAAGGCTCAGAAAGGATGTGCCAAGTGGCACAGGTCTGCTGGCAGAGCTCTTCATTGCTGCATTAAACTTGGGTTCTGTTTCCAGTCCTGGCTGCTTACACCTCATTATTTTGGAAATTGTGAAATACTGCAGAAGTAAAGTACTCAGCCCCTGCATTGACACAAATGCTTTTTTTGTCATTTCTCACTCTTTCATCCCAGCTGGTTTAGGAGCAGCGTGCGGTCAAGCCAACCAAGGCCAAGAGGAAAAATTTAAGGAAGAAAAATAAAGCAGAAATAATAATAAATTGCGATTGTGTGATTGTCAAATTTTAATGGGGGTCTGAAGGACACTAGATTAGGTAAACAAAGCTAGACGGAGTTATGCCTGTTCAGAAAGTATTTGCTAACTGTTGTTTACTGATTCTCCTTAATGTGCAGGACATATTCTTCAAGTGCCAAATATTCCTACAGTTTCCTTTTCTCAGCTGTCATGAAAGCATAGATCCGTATTCTTATATTTCTAGCTGTATGAATGATCTTTGCAGGTAAGACTGGAGTTCTTGTGTATTTATTTTTGACACGTGAAATGAATGCTCATTCTTTCATTTGAGACCAGAACAGAGCAGCGTTGAGGGAAGTTAGGAGGAACCACGTTCAAAGTGAAAGAGATGGGGTTCTCAATGCATGATTTAGTGTGGAGACAAAGGACACCGAACCAGCCTGCCAAGAGATATTTTGATTGCTAAAGGTTTACATGAATTCGAAGAAATACTGGACAAACACATGGAAGAGAAATCCATGGAGAATCACTAATGACAAAAGAGGAGGTTCTAATCACAAAAAACCTGAAACCTGTATCTGGAGGCTCTGAATCAAAAACAGGTGGAGATGATACTAGGGGGAGATATCAGTGATACTGAAGGAGCCGGACCATTTGCCTGACACAGCTGGACTGTTTTTATGAGCCAACACTATGGTTCAAATGAGTAGAAATTTTCAAAATTGTTTTATTTATAGAAGTTTAGAGTTCTCAAAAGGAATTAAACTCTCATTGGCTTTGGTGGGAGATACACCCCCTCAGCTGCTGGCATTATATGCAGCCTGGTATTTTTCCCTTAGCTCTCCAGACTCCTATTTAGTTCTTGTCATCCAAGGTGCTCCACAGTGTAATTGACTAGATGACTGAGCAGTGTACCACTTCCTTCTTAGTAGGTTTTTTACATTAAGAAGTAATTGTCATAAATAGAAAGATTTTTACCAGATACTATTATGGCCTTCTCAGTACATCATCAATTTAATCAAAGATATACAGAAAGGATCACAAGATTATAAGAATCACTCAGTATAATCCACTACAACTTTTTAGTTCATTCTTTAGTGAATTTTTAGTTTTCTGCTTTACCATAAAGTCAAGGTGGAAGAATTTGTGTTTGTAGTGAAATCTCCAAAGTATGCTTCCTGAAGTTTGTGATCTGTATGTTGATTTTGCTCAGAGAAGAGATTAGTTACCTCAGTATAGTATCTTTGTAACTCAGGAGTTTATTGTGACTTTTTCTTAGCAAAGCAAGAATAGCTAAAAGCAAATTTTCAAATGTGATATTGAATCAGTGTCATGTTGTTAAGGTCGATTTGTTTTGTCAACATGCATATGTGTGTTAAAGTGAATTGTGTGAATGTTAAAAACCTTGAAGAAGTTTCTGTATCTCAGAACCTTATTAATTTAGGATTATTTTGTTTATAAAAGAGACCTCTCTTCTTGTGGCTTAGTGTCAGTTTATGAAGTTTTTTGTGGGGCCGTACTATTTGCCAAGCATTCTTTCTATTAAGACCCATTTAATTGGATTAGATAAGGAGAGCTGGAGAGACTCTGATCACTGTAAAAAAAGTACAGTGGTGTTTGATTTGATAAGAGATATGTTGAAAGCAGAATACAAACACAATATAATATATTCTTAAGTCCATTAATTTTGGAAGCATGATCTTGTGTGCTGAAAGACAAACTCAGCTGATCTGTCACAGTCACGCCTATAATAAAAATGTCATGTTATGACTAGTTCATTTTGGCATCAAATCCTACACAGTGAGTGACGGGAGATGTTGGACTTTCACAGGAACAAAAGGTTGGGGGTATCTCGCCTTACGTGGCTTACATCTGAATAAAATTTGAGCTTACCTAAACACTGATGAGTGTCCCTTTACTGATCCTGGCCAAAGCACATGCTACAGCTTCTTCTGTATAGACAAGGGCAGAGATAATGTCTTTGGCCAAGGTTGCACTATAAATCCCTGAGCCTGTCCACGGTATTCAGTGGCTAATGCTTCTGGCACCAAGCACTTCAGCACAAGTCAGGAGTCCACCAACAGGATTCTTCTTGCCTAAGTTCAAGTTCAGAAAGCCACTGGAAACTTGAACTTGCTACTTGGAGCAGAATGTCTTTTATCAGTGTAGGTCAGAGTTTCCACATCATGCACAAGGGAGAGAGAGCCTGAAATGTGGATCATGAGACTGTTGAGTTGTCCATTGTCTTCAAGACAAGGTCATGTTATTCTTTCACCATAAGCAGCATCTATCTTTGTGGGTTGTGGGGTTTGGTTTTTTTTTTTGGTAATAAGTTAGCGGTTTTGTTCACTGTGGGAATTTTGAAATAATTTTTTTTGTGAGAGAAAATGATAAAACCACAACAGTATATTCAATATAGCTCATTCCTTTTCATAGTATTTTCACTGTGTGCTGTTATGACTGAGTGGTATCAGCTATGGTGAAGTATCCTGTGCAGTGTCTCATGGCAGAGATTTGTAGATTGGATTTGAGTTCCTTGATTACTCTCTTGTTTTATCATTTCAGAGTGGATGATGATGAAACATACTGCAGGGCAGTGACAGAGTATGCCAGAGCATGCTCTCATGCTGGGTCCCCGGTGCGAGACTGGAGGGATGACTTTCCTGCCTGTAGTAAGACTTTTTAGTGAAGCATACTGTATGACCTTTGAGATACCCTGTGTATTCATTTCAAATAATTTCATCTTGACAACATTTGTTGCTACAGGACTCAAACCTGATAGTGAAGTAGGTCTGCCAGCTTCACTATTGCTGGTGAATGCAATGAAGTCAGTGACTTGCCAGAGGAATATTTTAGTTCCATTGTGATCTGATCTAGATCCATACAAAGTTCTGTTTCTGCAGATTGCTTGAAACATCATGTGTGCTGATCATATTCTAGGACAAAGAACAAACATCTGTGGAGATCTGATGTTATCCCTCTTTCCAGACAACCTTTAAGCCTCTACTGGCCCTGTAACAGAATTCATACAGTTAATCCAGCTCCTTCTAGTTACCACCACCACCCATCAACTGCAGTTCAGCCTCATGCACAAGACTGAACTAGCTGAGATATGAGCACATGTTCCCTTGTCACAGAAACCGTAACTTCTTTCGGAAGGGTGTTGTAAAAATTTGGTAAGAAAGACTTAAATACAGGTGAGAGATTCACCACAGATCATCAGTTAAAACCTCTCCAAACAATCCATTGTACCTGACCTGAATAATTACCTATACCAGAAGTGCTGCACAACTGTTTATTTGAGAGAGCAGCGTTCTCCATTATGGAAAAAGGAATTGCACTAATGTTCAATGTCCCATGTATTTTTTCTAGCTGAGAGGTGTGAAGACAGCTTTGTACACCGTGACTGCATCAGTTGTTGTCCACCAACATGCACATTTGAAAAAGATTGTCTTGGCAGCAACCTACACTGCTTAGATGGCTGTTACTGTCCAGATGGTATGTATTGTCAAGTTTAGGTGAAAAAATATGTGTAAAGCTAATATCCAACTTCATAATAAAGTTGTCTAAATAGACTGTGCTTAAAGTTAGAGTATTGTAAATTCTGCTCTAGCTGTTGTTATTCTCACTGTGATTCTTTCTTTTATTGTGTTCCAAACATTTCTCTAGAACATAAGGGTGGCTCAGAATGAAATACCCCTTAAAATCTGGAGCCATCACAAATGCTTGCTACAACAAGATATTGCATATATTTAATCCACTTTAATTGAATTATTACAAAATCTATTGCGGTTTTATTTAAACAGAATGTGTCATGCTCTGTACAAGAAAACAAACTTTCTGAGACCCATACTGAATAAAAATTTGGGATTGGACTATGAACACTCCTGTTCAAGAAGGGCTAAATATTATGTGATCTCAGAATCTTTTCATTTTGAGTCTGTACAGTTTTACATGCTTAAGGCAGACATTTTTCATAAACCAACTATTCAGAGTGACAACTGCTTTGAGAGAGCTTCACTGTTCATCACTGTCACTGAGCTCTTTGCACTCACTGGGTGAATCTTCTTGCTGGTCCCCAGTTAAGACTAGTGAGATCACGGTCTGGCAGATTTGAAAGTTTGAGTCAGATGGGGGAAGAGCTGTGATATGGAGTTCATTAATTTGGTTTTGATCTCATTTATTAACTTCCTTCCCAATAGGTCTCATTATGGAAAACGGAACTTGTATCTCTGTGTCAAATTGTCCTTGTGTTTATCATGGAACTGCCTTCCCTGCAGGCTCAAAAATTGAACAAGAATGTAGCAACTGGTATGTGAAAGCCTCACATCATCTGTGTTTCCTCTCTCTGACTGCTGCCCATAGTCAGTTTAACATCATAATTACACTTAGGTTTTAAAGGATAGTTAATATCTGTGTTTTAGTCTGGGACCTGTGTATCTCCAAAATATGCAGGCTATGCTATGGAAAGGGTGAATTAGACATATTAATTAGCTGAAACCTGCTCTTTTTCCTAAAGATCAGAACACTGAATTTCTGTGTTTTGTGATTTTTCTTTTTAGTATTTGTATTGGTGGCATTTGGAACTGCACTGATCATGATTGCCCAGGTATCTGTGTTTCATTATTCTTTTCTCTCCTCAGTGAATAAGGGATAAACTTCTCAGAAGGCAACAGAGCCAAATATGATCCAAGGGCTAGGGATGCTAATTTAAGAAGAAATATTAAGCAGATGGATGTTGAGAGTAGCAGTGGGCCAGCTGGGGTGAAGCTGTCAACTGCCTGACCCTACTCATCTTACCTGTGCCCATTTTCTCCCTAACTCAGTGTGTTACATCCACCCCTTGTTTTCTATCTCATGATGATGCTTTATGTTCTTGAGAACAGGCAGCTTATTTCTACTGCCTGTGCAGGTATAAGGACCTTTTTACTTCCAGGTACAATTGTAATGCACATAATAAGAAAAAAATAATTCTGATCTTCAGTGTGCTGTATTTTCTGGCTTGTAACATCCGTTCAGGTTTGGATAATGACACTTTAAAGGTTACATGTCTCTGTAATGAGTTACTCAGAGGACCATGCATTAGTTGGGTGGTAAAAGTCCCTTGGCAGTTCTGTATCTGAGACAAGATTATACTATGAAACTTGTGAACGAGTATTTTTTACAAATTAAGGAGCCCCCTCTGAATGAAGTAATAAACAAGGCTTAACAGTTACTAAGCAAGGCTTGAAAGGGTGGATCTGTATTGTAAAACAGTTGACACTGACAACCACTATCCATATGTCTGTGTGTGTTGTGTGTGCATAGAAGGGCTTAATTATGACTACTCTAGTCTGCTTCTAGAGACTGAATGCCTGTTAGTATTAGGAGCAGGTTAGATGTGCTCCCACAGAGCAGCTCCTGCAGTAGCTGCAGCCAAAATTAATCTAGTTCATGTGCTCTGACACTGCCCCATGGTGTGAATGAAAGTGAAGTCAGTGGGGACGCGCTGGAAACTTGCTTCAGCAGTGTACGCCTGATCTGAACTGAAAAACGAGCATAGATGTGCCCTGAGGACAGACACCTGCAGCCTCGTCACACCTGCGGGAATAAGCAGCGCCATAGTACCTAGAAGGAAGGAGAAAGAAACTTGTCCTCTTTCACATTCAGTCAGTCATGCCAAAAGATAATGAGGATGAAGATTCTAGGAATCTTCAGAGTTGTAAAAAAGAGAAAACTCTTTTGTATTTTAGAGAACTTGTGACTCAAAGGTTTCTCATCTAGTTAGAATCAAAAGAGGCTGCACATCGGTGTATCCAATATGAGATGGTATCTGGTGGAAGTAGGTGTATGTAACGTATTTTATTTCCAAGTGTCATAATACCTAGGTAGATTAAAGTTAGCCTGGATTATGTACTTAGTAATAAGGAGAAAGTTTCTTCCATCACTGACAGAATAATGGTACATTCTTACGCAAGTGAACATTCTTGTTTATCCTTTTTCTCTCGAGCCGAGTGCTCCATCACAGGTAGCTCTCATTTCACAACATTTGATGGACGTCATTTTACCTTTCTTGGGATTTGCCAGTACATTTTGGTCAAAGGCACTGGGAAAAAAAAATTCACTATCACTTTACAGAAAGCACCTTGTGGACAGGTAAGTCACATTTTTGTTGAACATTCACAACAAGCGTGTCCATCCATGTTTCAGGCCAATCTTGTATAGGTTCTACTGTGAACTACCAGGTTATGTTTAACAGCAAATACAAATTGAAACTATTTTACAGCTTTTTTATAAGTGGTTGTATTTCTACATGTTGTAGAAATGTCACTTCAAAAGCTAGACTATGAGCTGGTGCCTCTGCTTTTTTGTAGCACCTCCTTCTCCTGCATAGGTGTTGAGACTTTTGTTTCTGCATTTCAGGTGGCCTCAAGCATGAAATGGTTGGTTAAGTAGTCACTGAGAGACAAGGATGCTACTGGCAATGACCCTTAGCACAACTCTAGGCACCTTGGAGTTCCTGGGTGAAAACATAGAGGCCCTGGGGAGCATAAGACGTTTGGTTTAAGCTGGTTATGTCACCTTTTGCCTTCTAGTTATGTTCATAAATTCTGCCTGGATAGCACTCTATGAAACATCTCTATCAATCCTTTGATGGGTGTGAGTTAGTTTATAAGTCACCATTTTTTTGATAGTCAGATGGTTATAAACTGTTGTAGTATATTTCTGGAGAAATTTGGCCTGCCTTTTGGTCTGCTGTCAGAGATCATGACTATGTTTCAAGGTGAGAAGCACCTTCATGTGTGCGATTGTTTCATTATCCTGCGTTGCTGCATTTGGGTTCTGGTTGCACCAGCTTGATATAGACAGGGTCAGACTTTTGCTCAAATACTGGTTAACCCAGCAAGGAGGAGTATCCAGGGTGGCCATGCAAGTAGGGTCCTTTGAACACAGTATCAGTACCTGGGGCCCTCTGTCTTCTTACTACCAGACTGCCATAATAGCTAGAATGTATTCTCCTTGCTTTTATATGCATATGCAATGTTTTATTATGTTCTCCCTAAAATTTTGAGTGCTCTGTTTAATACTTTGAGTCATAGTTTAGAACCGATTTACCTGAAGGCAGTTCTGGTATTTCCTTACTATGCACCTGTTCTTTCATCTGTTTGTTTGTTTTTGCTTTCCATGGTAATATTGATGTCCTTGCCTGCTTCTGATGGTGAAACTTGTTTCTGCTTAGAACTTCGACCATGCCTGCATTGAGTCTATAACACTAGTTCTTGAAGATGATGTGAACAAACAAGTAACTCTCACAAGATACGGTCAAGTCCAAACCGGCCCTAACCAAGTTTTTAACCTTAATGGTAAGAAGTAATGGAGTAGAATTTTACCAGGGTTCACATCCTTTATTTTATATGCTCTAAAGCTTTTTAATAATACCCACTATGAAAAAAGATTTTTTTCAAACATAACTTAGGAAATGTACAATCACTTAATTCTTAGAAGGGAGAGGAAGACAGGTTGGAAATCACCTTGATGATGATGTTAAGGTCTAGCTTGATTAAAACTTTGTGGAATAAATGGCATGGAATAGAATCCATGTGCTCTATGGGATCTATGTTCCTTTCAGCGCTGACTTATGTTGTGATTTCAGGCAGGTTACTTCACCTTTTTCAAAAGGACAGTAAAATAAATCAGCCTTAAAAGGATGTTATACAATTAAGCACTGAAGGTGGAAATTATATTGCTAAATTTTATATCTTACTGTGATCAGCAGTAAATTCTTATTGGATTTTTAGTCTCTTTCTGAAAGAGTAAAGTGGGCGTTCCCCTTTCCCAAACTCCAACAAAAGAGAGTTTAGGGAGTTCTGTTCTAGTGGTTGCAGCTATGTCTTTTCTTCATTGAATTTGTTCAGGCACAGTTCCGCTTTTGGCATTCACAGCTCCCTATGGCAATGAATTTCATAGCTCGGTTATACTTTCAGTTATGTTGACAGTTCTGCTTCATCATTTCATTGGTAATTTCATTTTATGCCTTTTGAATCAGTCCCTATTCACTTTTGTCTCTTTCCATATTCTGCGACAAATATAATCCATGACAATATTTAGGTGTCACATTCTTGATAATAGGGAGTATCTAGTAAGCCTTATCAGCTAAGAACATCTTTAAGCTCACATAAGTGTTTTATCTGCTGCTTCTCAGTTTGCGCGCCTAAGTGTGTGTGTGCATGTGTAGAGGCTGCTTGTGGAGGTAGATCTGCTTTAAGCCTACAGCTGCAAGTAGCCCAGTGGTGTGTAGCAAATGAATGCTGTGACTGTGAAATTTCCATTTCCTCACATAATGGATTTGCTGGGAAGGAAAGCTGGGAATTTGATAGGGCCTTAGTTCACAGGAAGGAGCTATACTGATGTTCTATCAGTAGCAGTAAGAGAACCTTCTATCTAAGGGTTGCAATATACTTCACAGACATCTGTTAATTAATCTTATAACATCCCTGGAGACTAAGAAGCAAGTGGTTTCTTGTCTTCTCATTCCCAGAGGCATGTTGCATTGCTTTCTTCTAAAAAAAAAAAAAAAAAGTTAAGAGTGGTTTCTGGATAACTAACAGGTACAGAAACGTGAGAGATTTTTTACTGTCGACAGTGTTGCGATTCTTGATTTGTGTCACTGATGAAAAAGATACGTAGGCTAGTAACTTCAGTTGGAGAATGGGTGAGGTTATTTGGCTGCAGGTGAGGTTGTGCATAGCTTCCCATTTTAATCTGAATCTGTTTTATTTAAGGAGTAATCCAATACAAACAGGAAGTTGGATTTCAGTGACTTTATTTTTCATTTTTCTTTGCTATGTGCAGGGGCTATTGAAATTCAGAATATATCTTCTTTCTTTGTTCAACTGAAAACTAGTTTTGGTTTGAAGATACTGTTTGCTAAAGATGGAGAGAGGATCTATGTTCAAGTTGATGTTAGCTGGAAGAGAAGAACATTAGGACTATGTGGAACTTTCAATGGAAATTTAAGAGATGATTTTCTGTAAGTTACATACTGTACATTTTGATTGTGTTTTAATAACAAGTGAAAAGTTTTGTTGAATGTAATCATCTGCGTATTTAATTTCATCAACATGCTCATACTTTAGTAAACTAACTCTTTAATTAAAATGTTACTTTTTAAACAACAAAATAAAATTAGCTAAGTCATTCTCAGAAGTTTAGCTAAATAATTCTAGAAAACTACTGTATTATTTATAGAAATTATTGGATGATGATATTGCTTGAATGCACTTTTTTCTTCCCTGTTGCTCCCTTATCATCAGAGCAAATACATGAGCACTGTCAAAAAGAGTGGATGATAATACCAGTATCATCCTCACCTGTTTAACACTTCCTGCTGCTTGGTTTTTTTCCTCCCACATAAAGTTTTAATGAAAAAAAAAAAGATAATTCTGGACCACAGGAATAGTTTCATTACAAGGGCACACCTTCCTCATTCCTATAGTTCCTCAAGCTATAATATCACAAAACCTTTCTAGCAATAATAAAGGTTTTTGAAACACTTGCTGAAAACCAGCATCAAAATGCAAACAGCTCCCCTCTAGAACACCGAAATTAGCTAACAGGTCAAATTTTTGACATTTCACTGCATGTATGTACTCGAATAAAGGCCAAATTCTCCTCTCATTAATGCCTCCTCCAACTGATTTCAGAGTGCTTGAATTAAGTGTGAGTGAGGGCAGACTTGCAGTGTAAGAATATTTTTGCATGAGTAAAGTATTGAGGAAGAAGCTTCACATGCGCTCTCTTCTTTTATACCTCATAGATGGAAATTCTTTTGACACGTTGAATGTTCCATGTGACACTGCATCTCAGGCTTTTTGATGTACTGGCATCCTCACCCAAGTAGTCCCTAACATCAGCAGGATACTTGCAGTGTTGATCTTTCCTTTTCAGTTCTCCAGCAGGGATGATAGAAGGGACCCCACAACTTCATGCCAATGCATGGAAGGTTTCCTCAGCTTGTTCTGTGCCTATCAATATTCCTGTGGTTGATCCCTGCAACGTTAATCAGCAAAATGGTATGTTTTCACATGGGAGTCTGGAATTAGCTGTATCTTATTATTATGGGACATTTTTTGTTTTCTCCGTGCATGAGTTCCACATATATGTGTTTCAACTTCAGTTTTAGATGTGCACTCTTTCTTTCCTTTGTTTTGCAAAGGCCATTATTTTAGCATGTAAAATGAAGTGAGGCCTTTGTAAATACAAGCTAAGTGATCATTTAATGCTGGGTGTACCGACCATGGGTCCTTAACCCTGCTGTCTAATACGCATGCAGAGAACCAGGTCTCTAGTCCTGTAAATCATGCCAGTCAAGAGGAATGATGTAGATTTGCAAAAAAAGTACAGGAGACAGTGTCTTGCCAAGACGAAATGTCTGGACAGGACAAAATTCTGTCTCTGGCTTCTCTATGCTTCTTCCATTAAAAGTTTCCTTGTCCTCCTTCTATGGTCTTTAGCACAAACTGATGCAAACAATCTGAGATCTGTGGATTTGTTGAAATTCCTGAGTAAAGATGTAGTTTTGGCTGGTTGACATGCCTGTGTTTTGCGTGGAACTTTCACTGTCTCCTCCTTTCCATGTTGCTGTTCTTTTCAATTAATGAAGACAATGGGCAGACAGTAGTTGCCAATTCTGACAGAATTTAGTCTAAAGTTTTTAATGTTTCAGACATAAGACCTCACTAAGGACATGGGATTTGGCCATATTTAGAGCCTGTGGGAGCAAGCCTAGAATACCCATAAACCTTTAAGAATCTGGGACATTCTAAGTCTTTTTATGCCTTCAGCATTGGCTGTGTTCTAAAGTGGTACATCTCAGCCAAGTTAGCACTCTCCAAGATACTTCGTGCCTCACCTTCAATTCTGTGGTGAAGGTGGAGTTTGACGTAAATGTAAGATGCTTAGAGCTGAAGGGTGGAGTCCATGACCTTCTGAGGTCCTTTCCAGCCTGAATTTTCCTGTGATCCTGTAATAATCACTGGAAAAAGCAGTCCCTGAGTAAGTGGTCCTCCCCACAGTACCACCTGTGCTGAGCCAGCACAAGCATTTTCCCAGGTCTGTGATCATCTTAATCTGATTAAACTGAAAAAGAAATTATTGGTTGCATGTTTTCTTATTTTGTGAGGTTACTGTTCAACCAAGTCAACTTCACTCCTTGAATCTAGTTTACTGAGAGACTCCAGAAATTCTTGTGTTAGTCTGTGTGTGTGGAAATGAACAAGGAGGATGAAGAGTAGAACACTCCTCTAGCAGCAAAATTGGCTTAAATGTGATCCACACTATGGAGTTCCTGAGAGATTCCACCACTTGTGGAGGTAGTACAGTTCAGTGGTATGAGGAGTGTCTGTTGGTACTAGAAGGTCTATGGCCAGCTGGGGATTGGCATGCCCTTGAGCTCCAGTTTCTAATGCTTCCTGAGTCCACGTCCCAAGAGGTATATGGGCATTGCTGATTTCAAGGCTAAATGAAACACTGATTAGGAAAAAACATATTCCAAGCTTCGGAGGACTCTTCTAACTGACTCTTTGAAATATATTATTTTGCCATTCAAATTTCCTGCACTACTAGAGGAAGGCATAACTGGCTTTATATAGTTATTTTTATCTTAAGTGGAGTTTATTGTTGAGGCAGTTACTTAGAATATCAGTTTTAAACAATGAAACTTTGCGGAAAGTCATTGTTCACAAGGTTTTGTTGTACAACTGCCTATGTTTGGGTTTATTATTCTATGCTATTCATTTGACTTACTGTTATATTAAAATGGATCTGTCTAAAACAATGTCACCTTCTCTTAGCTGGGTATGCATCTCACTGTGATATCATCAATCAAGAAGTTTTTGCTCCCTGCCATGCCTACATCAGTCCAGGATTATACTACCAGATATGCCGCTTCGACGCGTGCAAATGCGGAAGCAGCTGTCTGTGTAATGCTTTGGCACACTATGCTTACGTCTGTGGCAAGCACGGGGTCATCATTGACTTCAGATCTCATATTTCTTACTGTGGTGAGTAATGTTTGCAGAACAGAGTATCTTTTAGAAATATGTAAAATTCTACAAGTATCATTCACTCCACAAAATACAGGGATTGACCTTTTTTTTTTTGCTGTAAACTATAACTGTACCATGGACTAATGACATAGGAGAATTCTAATAGTTTTTACATGAGGAATCTGAGTTGGGGACCCTGAGCTGCCTCACAGGGAGTGCCTGTCCCTTTCTGTTTGCTACAGAGAGAATTTAAATTTCTGACTTTGAACCCCTAAGTCATATGGAAGACCCTATTAGGCTAAAGTAGTCAGGGATTGTCAGGAGCAGGGGTGTTCCTTAAGGGACTGGAAGCTGGGGTGGCAGGGGCTCCCCAGGGTGGGCAGTGTTTTTCCAAGTAGGATATAGCAATGATTTAAACCAAAGCATTTCAAAACCGCAGAGTAGTTTCTCGAGATTAAATGGACCGTTCTTCCTCTCCTGAAAGACTGAATTACTAGATAGATACACCCACCACACACACATACGTTTAACATATACAAAGAATAGACACCAACTACTTACAAAATAGACAATTCTAGCCAAGGAGTTGTCTAATATAAACCCCACTGATTCTACATTTCTAACCTAAGACATCAGTAAAAAAGCATATTTTTCTCATGCATTTTTAACTAACCCCAGTGCAGCAAGAGACCATTTTGCTTTGCTATTTTGCACTCTCATGATCTAATGCTTTGTTTTCTATTTTCCACATTTTAAGAGTATGTTGTTCTCAATTCTCTCCCCCTTTCTCTCCTCCAGCTGTGATGTGTCACAGTGGTATGCTTTATCATCAGTGCTCTTCTTTTTGTAAACGCTCCTGTGCTTCACTTTCTATGGCAACTATCTGTGGTGATGACTGTGCAGAAGGATGTAATTGTCCTGATGGGAAATATTTTGAAGAGTCGGTCAACTTCTGTGTATCAATGTAAGTCATTAGAAAATAGAATATATGCATAGGCAGTTTTCTTCTTTCAAGCAAGATTTAAAGTATTCCAATATTTTTGCTTGGTTTCTAGGGAATTCTGTTGCTATTTCTATCCCATCTGGCTCTTATCACAGACAGAGTTAATGGATTTTGCTGTGATAATTCCTCTGCCCCATGATTTTGACTACTTTGAATGGGAACTACACGTTTCCCACTCATGTGCTCTCATAACTGAGAAGAAAAGCTCCTTTCTATGACTAATGCACAGAAACAGCAAATAAATTATACAGAGTTTAGGAAAATCCTGGCTCTGAAGACAGTATGAGTTTTGCAACTGAACTGAATACAGTCAGTGTCATCTTTGGTTTTTGTCTTTAAAAGTATATTGTAAATATAAAAATTATGATTTATAAGGCTTCCTTATCACAACAGCTTGGTTAATGGATTGCCCTTAAATCCCACTTAATTTTGCTTTTGTATCTACAAAAATAAATATTCTTTTAACAGATCTGCCTGTCATTGTCATTACAAGGGCAAAGACCTCCAGCCTGGAGAAATCCTCCCTACACCAAAAGGCTCCTGGTAGGTTTGAGCACCAAGCATTTTATTGTTCATGTATCACAGTTTGGATGCTACTCAGGAGCCTTGAGAATTTTTTCACATAGAATAAAGGTCTGTTGTATCAAGATTTTATTTTTGTTACAAACTTAGTAAAAGGGAACCTAATATAAATTGGATTACGTACCTCCTTATTTTAACAACAGGATACCTGGAAAATTCTGTAAGCTGGGGACTAAAGAGTATCCCAAAACACACACAGGCATGTTGCAGTCCTGTTCTTAGACCTGGGGGGCATTATGATAGCAATATGAGGCTGGCTTCAGAAAAATAAACAGTGTGATTTTATTTTGGAAATTCTTTCAAACAAAGGCTTTCAGGGAGCTATATTTGTCATTTTGTATTACTAATTCACGGTGGAATCCTGACCTTACTGAAACAAGTGGGGAAACCTCCTGGGTTTCCTGGTCAAACTTGTTCATTTTACAAGAAATGTTCTCAACCTGCTGATTTAAAATCATGTCTGTGACGGGAGAGTCAAGGTTG